ATATATATATATATATGTGTGTGTTTATATACGAAATTTAATGTAGTATTTCTAGAGAAATCAAGATAAAATAAATTTTGCCAAAGTTCAACTTAAATTATTGATAGGGATTTTAAAAAAATGTATTCGACGTAATTATAAATACTTTTTAATTGATATTAAATTGAGAAAAAAAGAAAAGAAATGCAAGATTATTAGACTATATAAATAAGTAGGTAAAGCTTGCTCTGTATCAGAGTTAATGATATTTATTGACGTAGCGATAGCATTATAATAGTCTAATCTTATATCTGTATAAAGTTATTGGATATTCGGTGGAAAATGAACGGAAGATTATCATGGAAAATTAATGTATTAATTGGTTAATATTTTGTCTCGCATACACATTTCATTATTGTAAATAATGCATCTCGCTCATTATGTAAATTATAAAATATTTGAGTACCAATATAAATCGTGCCTTTCTAAAACTTAAGTTGTACTAATTATAAATCCTATCAGATTATTCAGAATAGAAAGAGTATGTTACATAGAGAGAGTTAATTAACATCTCTATTATTAATTAATGATAAAAAAATTGTGAAATTAAATCAGTAACATATAAAAAGACTTGTTTTCGATTATGATTTTGAACGCTTGTAAGTAAATATTTCATTATTAATACTAATATCACGAGCACTACTGCTATAACTTTATTCGTTTTAATAGAAGAATTTGACAATATTTTTTCTTTTATTAGAGTACGAATACGCATTGCATTTTTATGTGATTCTTCCATACATTTTTCAACAATCTGTATTATCAATGTAATGAAAACATGTATGAAAAAATTTATTGTTATTGTATTCTACTTATGTATGTTCTACTTATATGTACTTTTTTTCTACAAAATCAAGTAAATATGTAAGTATAAACATATATACAATTGTATAACGTAATGGATATATTTTATTTTGTTATATATTTCATGATAAATGGTCATTCAAACGTTCTATAATCTAGGAAATAGATCAATTCGTTGAAACATAGATCAATTCATGTATATAACGCCACAAAATAAGATATATCGATTACAGTCATTTACATTAATATAAATATACATATGGTCCATTACTATTTATGTATTGTACCTAACTTTATGCTATTACTTAACTTTTAATTATTCAGTGAGCTTTTTTTTTAATTTGTATGATTGTAATCGATCGCATGACAATTATTCAACAAACTAGAGGATCATAAATACAAAAAATACCAGTGACACAATGATAAACCACTACATTATTATTAAATTAACATGTACATATACTGGATATTTTCAGATCGATTCAGTCTCTTCTTATTTACTGCAATTAAAATTCACAAAATTGATGAAACTATTCTGAATCGATATTTTAAAAAATATTAAAACTTATATAAACTTATATAAACTTATATAAACTTTGTATTAAAAAGATACACATTGATCATTTCAGATATTTCCTTCTAATATTTTAAAAAATAGCTAGTATTTGTACACGTCTATTTTACAGGTACAAAAAAAGGTATAAAAAAAACTTATGGCAAAGGCGAAATTCTGTACAAATACTGAGGTGAAACGCATTTAATAAATCTAATAGATAATTTGCAAGAAAAACTTTGTTACACGCAAAGTGGCTTAAACCTAATGAAGAATACTTTTTTTTACACCCTGAGGATTTCTGCCGCTTTGTTATAACAAATTGCAATCCAGTCAGGTTGAGTAGCACCCCATTGAATTTGATTCACTTCTCCTTCTGCAGCAGTGTAAGCAAGAATAGGATCCTCAATGGCTCTTGGCATTTGTTGTATATCCCAAATTAGTGCCTGATGATCATCTCCCGCCGTACAAATGTGGCAAGACGAATGTGGTGCCCAAGCAATGCCATTAACGCTTGCTCTAAAAAAGAAATTATTATATCATACTATTAAAATTATTAAAATGAAACGTAAGATCCAAATAAATGAACTAACGCAAGAAATATATGCTATATACCTATGGTTATTCAGTCTTGCAACTGGCGTACATGGGACACGAACATCCAAAATAATTACTTCACAAGCATCCATTGCAACTGTTGCAAGATAATTGGGATCTTGCTTATTCCATGCAAGTCTTAAGAGCGGTGTGTGTTGTGGATCTTCATATATTATGGTCGAATGTTCCAAATGCCGCAAATCAAACATTCTTACAGAACCATCTGCACCAACGGAAGCAAACATGTCGCGACCACCACCAGCCCGACTAAATGCTATATCATATACTTCTTTATCGTGAGCAATTAACTGCGTTTTAACGTGGCCAGTGACCATATTAACTCTACCCAAAACCTGACCAGTTTCTAATCCCCAAATAGTACATGTTGTGTCTATACTGGAAGTACCAATTAAATTTGGATCTACTTCGTTCCAATCAAACGATGTAAGAGGAGCACAAAAATCAGAATTTTTATTATTATTTAAAACAGTTTCTAAATGAGTTTCCGGTTCAGCTGCTCTCCAAACTCTTAAATAGTCTCCAGATGTAGCTAAGAGATCCGGAAACAAACCTGTAAACAATTATAATAAAATATACAAGTGAAGATTTAAATAGAATTTATTCCAATGATGTAATAATACCTTTACTATCTGGTATCCACATAATTTTGGTAGTTGGATATGGATGATCAAATGTACTTTTGGCACTAAATTCAGAGGTCTCTTCATCCAATGAAACTATTTGTACTTTATTGTTATATTCTTCCACAAAACTGCCAAGAGCCAAACGAAATCGTTTATCGGGTCTTACTGACCAATTGATACTATACAATGGCCACGGTGCCTCGTATTTGTAAATTTCTTTTCTTTTTGGCGGTACACTATGTAACGCCATATTTCCCTCGTACTTGTCTCACCTAAAATATTTCATACTAAATGTACATTAACTAATACAAATTTATATACTTAATAATTTTTAAATTATAGTATATTAATAATTTTTAAATTAATATTTTTATGTGCATCGTAATAAGAAAGAAAATTAATTAATTATATTTTCTGCAGCGAAACATAATAATGATATAACATAAGTAATAATAGTAATATATGTTTCATTATCACATAATCTCACAACATATAAACAAACAAAATGATTGCTTAGATTACGACACTAACCTCAAAATTTGAAGCGTTCAGAATGCAATCGTTTTTCTATGTAGTCTTTATTCAAGTCTTAAAAATTTATTCTTTCATGGTAAACATGTTGTCAAGAAAAATATTTAATGCTAAAAATGTTAATAAAATGAAGCCAATATTCAAGTCACAATGTTTCATAAAGATATAGACTTAACCAAATCTTTTGTGATAAGATAAAATGGCGGTCTTTTAAATTTGACACTTTATTGTTATCATAAGCATTTGTATGAAATAGCAGTTAATATTTGGTTAATTTCAATAGTTGTTGTACATATTTCGAAAATGTACTAAGTAATATTAACATAATCTTAAAATATTTGCTGTTACACTAAAATAACATCTTATCTTTATAGAACGTATAGCATTCTCAACAATGAATTTCGTAATATACAGTAAAAATTATGAATTCATTTGTAAATAGAACTCAAGCTTCAATTTTGAAAAATACGTAAAGACATATTTAAATATTGAAACAATTTCTTTTAATGTCTTTTGAAAAATAAGCTTAATCTTTTACTGCTGCTACATATGCAGCTTGATCCTTCAGTTCACGCAGTTGCAGATCCATCTTAATATTTTTGGTGCAAACTTGAAATGTTAAATAATTTCAATATTTTAATTCTCTCAACATTTTAACATATAATATTTTATATAAATATTATACATATATATTTATTATAATGTATTTGCTATTGCTAACAAAGAATTACTAATTACTAAACATTTAAATAATTAATTATTTAACATTTAAATAACAATTTCTTTAACAATTCCTTATCAAACTTTGGAAATGGTAATGTAAGATAATTTGGAATTTAAAGTTAATTATTAAGGCAAATAAAACATAAATGACACGCTTTGAACGATAGAATTCTCCCATTGAAAATCATCCCTTATGTTTGCAGTGATGTTTCCTCTTACGACATATCAAAAAATACGCGGGAAGAATTAACGACAGTAGATGAAAATTTTCATCCTTATTATCACTGAAGTGCTGAAGGAAATATTTGAAAAGATTTTCGAAAAAGTGTCATTCACAAATGGGCACTTTTTTGGCTATTATAAATGTGAATGCGTTTTGGCGGCAAAAGAAAATTATTTGATTGGTCGCCGGCAGTTTGGCGCGAAACAGGAGGAAACAGCATTGATACAGTATACTTTTGGTGTTACGTTTTAAGCATTTAATTGATTGCTTTTCGTTGAGTGCTGACAACATTACTCTGGCAATTTTATTTTTTCCATTTAGCTTTTGCGTGAAATTCATCGAATTTTACAATGCCACTTCAAATCTCGACAAAGGAAAACATTCGTAAACACCTTGAGAATGTTTCTTTGAAAGATAACGTAAGTTTACTTGCCTTTTCTATAACTCTGATTTATCTGTAATTTTACGTATAAAATTAATTATTAATTATTTAATTGCTTTGTTTGCTTTTTCAGTATAATTAATACCAAGGAATATCTCTTAAATATATACACTATGCTTCATTATATTTAGTTCATCATTTAAGTTAATTAAGTTAAACGATTTTATTTTTTTAAATGTATCTTTTGCTTCTTATTTCGACTATCATCAGAGAAGTGTCATCATATGATAGAAATGTTCTATTTCTGTTCAGTTCATACTATTTCTAATTATTATGTATCGGAAAATCAATTTAAAAAATCACCACATTGATTTATTAGATTTAAGTTATTAGGTTTATAATTAATGATAGCATTTATAATGATAGATCTTAAATAAATAGATCAGTATACACAATAAAAATTTACAGTTGTAAATTATGTAATGTACTAAACACAAATTATCTTTGCTAATACCACATGTCTGACACAGTTGTAAGATATAATTTTACTTTATTTTTTTATATGGAAATTTTGATTTTTTACATTCGGTTTGTTATAAACAGCTAAATATAATTGACTGGAAGAATGGTAAGAAAATGATTTAAATATTTATAAAATTAATATATTCTATATAAAATTGTAATATATTATATAAAATTGTTTACATTTTCATGTATTACAAATTCATGTACATTAAAAAATGGATTATTTTATGATTATTCTGGAATATTTATTGTTGATAGAGTGTGTTTCTTATAGATAAAATTTTCATGCAAATAAGAAACATTCATAAACAGGTTATCATACCTTGTTCTTATATTGTAGTACAAAAAATTGTATAAGTGCTGTTACATATAATTGTGCAATACAATAAAATATGTCATTTCATGATTTTGTACATATTTCTATTATTCAAAATGCTATTAAATAAATTATTTGTATTTCATGAGAATAAAATATTAAATTCAACTGGTATATAGCAAGCAAATTATTCGTATTTATAACTGACTACAACTATCAATAAAATATTTTTCTTTTTATTAATTTTGATATCCCTGTTTTCAGACTTCTCCAAAAAAATTATGTACTTCTCCAGCAATTTCTCAAGAAAATGGTATCAAAAATGTAAGACAAATATTGTTATGTGATAGTAAAGTGATTTTAAAATTTTGTTAATATTTTTATTTGTTTTTCAGGTAACTAAAGCAAAAATTGTAAATAAGATTTTCAAAGAAAATGAATTCAATCCAGAATTAGAACCATTACTGAAAGAAAATCCACGTAGGTTTGTTGTTTTCCCTATCCAATGGCCTGACATTTGGCAAATGTACAAAAAAGCTGAAGCCTCTTTTTGGACTGTGGAGGAAGTGGACCTTTCTAAAGTATAATGCCTCAGGTAGATTACATTTTTTTTAAAAATGTAGAAATTAATAATATATTTTTCCAGGATGCATTGGACTGGAATAATTTAAATAACAAGGAGAAACATTTCATATCTTACGTCTTAGCATTCTTTGCCGCTTCTGATGGAATTGTCAATGAGAATCTCGTCGAACGATTTAGTCAAGAAGTACAAATAACAGAAGCACGTTGCTTCTATGGCTTTCAAATTGCCATGGAAAACGTACACTCAGAAATGTATTCTTTATTAATTGATACATATATCTCAGATGCCAAAGAAAGGTAAATAATTGTTTTAATCAGTTATTGAATATATTATTATACAATTTTTTATATCAGTTGTTTTTATTGTTACTGTACATTGTTCGTTCATAGAGACTTCTTATTTAATGCAATCGAAAATTTACCATGTGTCGCGAAAAAAGCTCAATGGGCATTAAATTGGATAAACCATGAAAGTGCAACGTTCCCTGAACGTATAGTTGCATTTGCTGCAGTGGAAGGTATATTTTTCAGCGGCAGTTTCGCTGCTATCTTCTGGTTGAAGAAAAGAGGTCTTATGCCGGGACTTACATTTAGTAATGAGCTTATTTCTAGAGATGAAGTTAGTATGCAATTATTTTAATATGTAATAAAAGAACTAATGTACAGAGTTGGAAGGAAGATTAGCAGAAAAAATGCTGATTTAATTGATTTTTATTATCGTATCAGTCTTATTTCTAACTCTGCATATAAGAAATAAAAAGAAGATAAGTAATAGTAAAACCAGTTGATTTACCTAAAATTCTTTTGCATCTTTAGGGACTACATTGCGATTTTGCATGTTTAATGTTCAAACACGTTATACAAAAACCATCTTGCGAACGAGTCACATCAATTATTAAGGATGCTGTCAAAATTGAACAAGAATTTTTAACGGATGCCTTACCTGTTGAAATGATAGGAATGAACTGTAAACTTATGTGTCAATATATCGAATTTGTTGCTGACAGATTACTTGTTGAATTAGGCTGTGAAAAGGTTTGTAAAAACTGATGGAATGATATTTATATTATTAAATATTATATGTATTATATATATTATAAATATAATATGTTTTCACTTTTAGATATATATATCTGAAAATCCGTTTGATTTTATGGAGCATATCTCTTTGGAAGGTAAAACAAACTTTTTCGAAAAAAAGGTGGGAGAGTATCAGAAATGGGGAGTAATGCAAAATAAAGTCGAGAGCAATTTTACAGTTAATGCTGAATTTTAATTTACTAGAAAGTTTACTTGAAAAAAACACAGAAATGATAATTTAATTTAAATTTCTGTTATTCATATACATAAAGTAAAAAATGTTTTATTCACGTGGATGGATGTGAACTTTTTGAAATATCGAAAATATTTTTCATTATTTGTTTTCTTTCCTCATTTATTAGGATTGAATTGTATATTATTAGGATCAAGTTTGATAATTGTATTTACTTTTGACCATAATTTTTACATTTTGACAATTACGTTTGGGATCTAATAATAACTGAGTCAAGGTATTCTATTTTGCATTAAATTCTTATAAATGTGTATTGTATTGTACATTTATTACGATTTATTATTTTATATCTTGTCTAATGGACAAAAAAAACATTTAACAATTAAGACAATATGAACAATTCAGTATTTGAATAAGGCTTTTGTGTATATGCATATATAATTTAATAAATATAATTTTTATTATAAGTATAAGAAGTAATTGTTATGGTTATAATTTTTTATTTTATAGAAGTTACTATTAAATTACATCTGTAGAAAATTATATTTTTATAAACAATTTATAAACTTTATAAAATTGGTTTTGTAATTTGTTTAATTGCATTGAAGAATATCTTATATGCAGGAATGTGAATATAAATGATACAATTGTATATGTTATAATCTATGCAAATTTTACACTGAAAACGTTTATATAAGTTTTCTATTTTTTCATATTATAAGCTGGTGATTTGTATAATAAACATTAAACAACTTTTACTTGAAAACCATTGTTCAAACGATTCAGATAATTTTTACGGCACTCCATAGTATCAGCTGGTCTGTTGTATGGCAACCAAACAGGTTCACCCACAAAATAACGTTTCGCTTTGATATAATTCTATAAAAAAGAAATAATAATAATCATTTAATTTTTAGTAAAACTTAGAAGTATAATGGAATACTTACGTTAATATTCAAAGTAAATCTATGATATATTCCACTAGGAATAATTATCAAATCTCCAGCTTTAACCTCAATACGTATCCATTGATCATCTTTATCTCGGACATCAAAATAACCGGACCCATCCAAAACTAATCTTATTTCTTCATCGGTGTGGAGATGTTCGGTGAAGAAATTCTTCAACTAAAAATCAAAGAAATAATTTGTATTATTTTATTTTGATAGATTACAATTAAACTGTATCGAAAGGAAGCTCAAACTTCACTTACTTTTTCTTCGTAATTTGGAAGACATTCCTTAGAACATACTATTTCATCCTCGTACGTGTAATTACGTTCTGTTTTTAATTCCATCAACGTGTTGTCATTTTGATAATTTTTGTAATCAACCTATAATAATATCGAATTAAATAAGTGAAAAATAGAATGTTATTGTAACGCATTTTTTCAATGACATGAGAAGGTCAAATTCAAAAATAATCTTTTTTTTTGTACAACTTTTTGAATACATTAAAATGTATTCGTTTAATATAAAACGAAAGAAAATCGATTACAAAATTATAATCAATCGGCAAATGTCAATAATAAAGAAATCTTATTGAATTGTACAAATGTGACTTAACCTTAAAATATTCGACACCTGTTTTTTTGAACAGATCCTCGAGAGAAATATATTCAGGTGGTTGTTTATGGTGTTCTAGGCGTTGATCGGCATCGCTGTTATCCATATACCATGCACAAACCATTTTTCTTCTATGAATAACACTATTCGATTTGGTAGTTTTTGTACTCGTTATTTATTAATGATGTAACCTTAAAGATAAAATTATCTAGGAATACGTTGTTTACAGAATTAAAAAGACTTAACTGAGCAACTGATATTGACACATTGTAAATTATAAATTTATAATTTAAACCTATTTATCTATTGTTTAGGTATAAAGGATGAATATATTATTCCATAAAAACTCGTGGTATGTTATGTTTCATACATCTTTTGTATATTTCATTTTTATATTACACGAATTATTTATTTTAATGTAGTTTATATTGTTTTGTACATCATAATTATTTATTATTTATATTATAATTATTTATGTAAATTCATCATAATTATTTATATTATAATTATATTATAATTATTTGTGTATATTAAATTTATATTTATTTAATAATTTATATATGCAACATGATAATTGCATTAAATTTTCAGAAATTTTTGTACAAGTGAAGGATCTCATAAGTGTATAATTCCAATTAATTATACCAACAATGGACAAATTTTACAAAAAGATTCAAACATATCTAATGAAGAAGAGTCAAGAATGTGGAGAATTAAAATTTCTTACATCTTGCATAACAGCAGAGAATAACATTCACATTGAAGACATATGTGAATCATTAAACAATATATTTAAAAATTATGATGTACCTATAGAAGAGAAGGCTTCAGTAAATGATGAAAAATGTACACAATCATATAAATATTTATTATTAAATACTAATTTCGAGAATCAAGAACGTTTGGCAGAAGATATTGTTAGTGGTCACTTAGTTGATATGTGTCCACCTTTATCTCCATATTTGTTTATACAAATATTATGGAATCTTGAGTATGAGAAGATCTTAATTGAATCTCTTTTATACATGCCATTAGACTTATGCATAGAAATAATAAACATAATTACAAAATGTATAGATAGATTAGATCCTTTTCAAAGATCTATTGAATGCATATTTCAACTAATACCGACCATATATACCAAGTTTCTTCATTTAAAAGAATTTAGTATACAGTCCAAAAATGTGGAAGAAAGCATACAAAATTTATTGATGAGTTTTGAAGAATTCTTACTATTATTAACAAATCCTAAGTTACCTTATTTGATAGAAGTATCAGGCTTAAAGAAATACGAACGGTATGGTATCATTTTAAAAAAATTAATTTATACAACAAAAAAATGTTTGGAGACTAGAAATGAAAAGATGTTGATTTCTACTGATCTTGAAAAATTATACAGTATTACGTTTGGAAAAGAAGAACATGTAAAATGTGAAAATACATTGATAGAAAATACTATGTCAACATTAAATCAACAAATAATGGACTTATTATTAAGTAAAATCAAAGAAGTTGATTGCAATATTTACTTAAGCTGGGCAGAGTTGAATGATCAAGAAAACAATATGATTTCTCTACAACGTTCTATTGGAATTGAATGTTATTATTTCATAGATTTTTTATCGAATGATAAAGAATTTTCGAAAAACGCACATTTAATAGAATGTTTACAACAATTGTCAAGTAAATCAGATCCTAAACAATCGAGCTTCATTTTAGATTTATCAGAACTCTGTTCTGCTATATCCAATGGTAAAAAGGAACTCATGAAAGAATTATTATCTAGATACAAAGAATGGGACCGCACGATACTTAATTTCATTTATGACAATAGATCATTGTTGGAAAAAGAAGACTGTTTAACATTGCTAGAATACCTTACTTTTATCCTTCAGCAATCAACAGAGGAAGATTTTAAAGAATTTACTTATGATCTAATTATGAAAGTATTGTCGTTTCAAAGTATATCAGATATCTACGAAATTATAATGATGTATTTAACTAAATTTGATGGTAAAAGTTATTTAGAATCTCCGAATACGGATGCAGCATTTCACGAGTTCGTTATGCGAAATACAAGTCTACAAAATTTTACGAATTTAAAAACAATCTTATTGTTTCTTTTAAAAAATCCTAAAATGGTATTGACAGTACTTTTGAAAATCACTATCGGTCATCCTCATTATGGAAATATCATGATTTCTCCTAATGATTTGCTTTTACTATCACCATTTATGCAAATAAGAGAAAGTGATAATCAAGTACTATTAACAAGTACGCTAAGGATCATTTGTATAGAAAACATAGAATGGAATGCTAAGAAGTTTATGAACTTGGTGAATGTCATGTTAGACAATTCTGTAATTGAAGTGCATGATTTGATAAATAATGTTTATATACCATATTTAAGAGAAGATACATTTAACATATCAAACATAAATGTAGTTCTCAATAGTATTCACAAATTACAAGTGAAATGTACTAAAAATACAAATATTAAAGATTTAATAATAATTCTCGCAAGAAGAATGTCGTTTCTTCGAAAAAATACAAATATCGACAAATATACGAGCAGCGAAATATTTTCTCGAATAACAAGGATATTGTCATATTTCTTGGAAAATGAAAACTTTTCTGTTTCACTAAAAAGGGAGATAGTAAATGGAATTGGATCTATCATTGAACCAATAGACAAATTATATTTCGCTTCTCTTTGGCATTTAATGCAGAAAGGTATTAGTATAATTGATATAATAGAAGATTATGAGAGACGTTGTTTTGTTGTACTAAACAAACTGAAAGAAGAATCAAAAGCTTCACAAAAATTACGATATTACTTATCTAATTTAAGTTTACTAAGAGAAGATTTTCTGCGCCATTTGATCATTCGTTCAACCGAAGAAGAATATCAAAGATTAGGTTCGGAACTTACCATAATTTATTGGTTCGTTTTTGGATGGAACGATGAAATCGATGCGTTTGATAATTTTCTACGCTTGACGATGGAAGCTTGTTGTTTATCTCTGGAATATTCAACCATCGGTGGAAACAATTTATTTGTATATTTATTTAAATCTTTTACGCGTTTCTGTAGGATATTTGTATCCCTCGAAGGAATGGAAAATCAGAAGAAAGTATGCCAATTATTAATTAAAAATATCAATCAACTTAACGAAAGCATAAAACATAGCCCTTATGTGAATTTATTCACTATCCATCTTACACATTTCGATGGCCATACAGAAGACAATGATTTTGTAAATTTTCTTCAAGATATTTTGAACACTTTTCAGCATTTTGCTGATGAGTGTTTCGAATACAATAAGTGCAATGAACATAGTGAAGAAACATGTAAAATATCTCATTCTCTAAACGTTTCGAATTTTTATATAATTCATGAAGTAATTTCTGCTTGTATGAAAGTATCTCCAACAGAAGCTTATGAATGTATTAGAATAATGGACGAAGTATTTACGTCGAATTAATTGCCCGTAATTACGAAAATACGTTTTGAGTATTTTAAATGAGAAATAAAAATGGAAATGGGCAACAAACATTTTCTGTTAAATTTAATTGATGAATATTTCATTATTTAAGTTTAAGAACTTAAATAACTTTAATAAACTTAAATCCATGAATATTTTAAGTTTAAAAATTTAAATAACTTGAATAAATAGCAATTGAGCAATAAATAGCCTGACTGATCTTTTGTATAGATAGTAGTACTACATTTCAATATTTGTATTGTACTTAATCTATAATATTAAAATTAGTTACATATGTTTGTCATAATTACCATACTTACCATTAATTTGCTACACAATTTTTTTCTTTTTTGAATGAAATTAAATCTTTACTGACTCATATCTAAAATATTTAAAAAATTATTTCCATAATAAATAACAAAAAAAGAATTCACGCAAATAGGTATTAAATATTATTATGATCAATAAATTTCCACTTTGATTATTCTACTACCGACTCTTTTTTATGTAAAAGAATTTATTAAAAATTTTACAAATTTAATCGAAATTAATCATGTTTTAATGTTTGTAAAAACAAACATAGTTTACATGTTTACTTAAAACTTCCATTCATTTTCACATTGCAGAGGATTTTCTATAATCAGTACCAAGTTGTTGCTTGTTTTTATTCTATATTATATTTGTGCGATATTTCCAAAATGCCAGTACAATGGTTAGTAATAAAAAAATGTGAAAAAAATTGCGTACAAAGAAAAAATGTGCACCAGTATTAAGAGAAGCAAAAATCAAGTGGGTAGCTTCATCTGGGTAGTCTCAATGCTTTCATGGAAAAAATTTGGTATATTATACAAAATTGCTGTATCAGCCTATTGTCTTTGAAATTAAATTACGATTCCTATCTTTAATCTACAAATATTAAATCCATGCTATATTCCTAATCCGCTACATAAGAAAATTAGTATTTAAAATAATTTCGGTATAAAATAATTAATTAGACAATAGGATAGTACAGCCGTCACCTCACAATAAAGCCATTATTTCCTCCAACTTACAACCATACTTTCTTACAACTTTTTCCATGTCATTGAGTTACAAGATTTCTATAGTGACTAGATTCTTATGCTGGTAATACAAACAAAATACAATACAAGGTTAAAAACTGAAAGCAAAAGTTCGACAAATGAAAATGAAATCAAGAATGAGAATACTTTGTTTACATAAAAGGAAAAAAAAAATATATTTGTTCATTTTCAATCGCGTTTTAAAACGGGGAAATACACGAATGTTACATGCTCTTGGTTCACACGTTTTACTCTTCTTCTTGTTTTCTTTCATTACTAGTAAAAAATAACGCATGTTCTGGTTTCGCCTATTTCCCTTTTTTTCTTTATCGACGTGATTAACAAATGCGACGAAGAAAAAATTATTGGAAATACCAGCAAACAATTTTTTGCGGATGGCGTTGTTATCGAGTGGGATAGTATCTGTTTCTCGTCTACCCAAGTGATATCGCACGAATGTACAACTAATCCGATCAATGAATAACAAACCAAAGAAAGACGGGCTAAAACAACAAAGAAATATAATCTCGCGGACGTCGTTTATCAATGAAATGCACATTTTTTTACTGTAAGCCATTCTCATTGTTGTTTTTTTTTCGAATGTCAGATCAGTATTTCTTCATTTTTTTTTTCCTCCATTAATATTAATATTATTATTAATTATTAATATTATTATTATATAATTCGACGCTATAATATTTACAGATTCTTCACATTGTAAAAAATATAACGTATTTCGTACTCAATATCATACGCAGGTAGTACTGAAAGGCCGATATACATCTAAATCGTGGTGTTTCTCGAATTAATGTGACCCAGTTGCGTAACAAATCTGCATGTATACATATATATTGTATGTATATATATATATATTTATATA